CCCACATGGAGTCAGTGCTCACCTCATTTACACAGTGAAAGCGCTCCTTAGAAACTGAACCTCCAAAGGGAAAGATCTCTACTGGAGTAAAAGCATCAGAGCTTGCCCAGGAGCATAATATAGGTGAGCATGGGGCTGGGCCAGGCCCCACCAGCACTGTTGCTTCACTTCTGTATCAGTTACTAAAAATAGAATTTGGCTCCTTTGGTCAGGTTCCCCCAAGTGCTTTAGTGATGTCCATGTTCAACTGCTTGAGCTTTTGTTTTGGCGACCCTCTGCCCAAAGTTGCTTATAAGCTGTTCTTCACCATGTTTCCAAGGCTGAGGAACAGAAAGTAGCCTCTGTTTTGAGGAGGTGGAAGTTAAGTATATATTTATTTTTTTACTGTGACTTGTTCAGGACTACATTTTACAAAATGCCTTGTTTTCTTTACTATTGTTTCTGGAAAAGAAAGTTTTATTAAAATTGTTTTAGTTTGAATATAGAAGAGGTTTTTTTTTTGAATTAGGGCTTATTTTGAAAAATTCTGAGTTTAATTCAAATGTATTACCTTCCTAAGTAAGGTAATATTCAGAGACAGTTGTTCATTTGATCAGATGTCTTAGAGAAATTTTTGGAATATTCACATGGGAAGATTCCTTATTAATGAATGTCTTTTACTTAAATCTAACCAAAAATTGCAACATTATTCTTTGTACATTTTTATTATATAGTGTTAACAACCTTAGCTGCTAACAAATAAAATACTTAAGCTATTTTTTTTTAGATGGACTTGAGAGGGAACCAGCAGTTAGCGTAATGGCTATGTAGTCGACCGTGGTTCGCGTCCCGAACCCGGTGGCTTAAAACCCACGCCGGGCACGTGTGCATGCGTGCCCAAGATCTCGAGAGGAGAATGGAGGAGAAGGGATTGCAGTGTGGCCATCCCTCTGGGGGCTGATTTCTCGCTTTCTGTCTTTCTGTCTCTCTGTCTGTCTGGCGAGCGCACGTGCCCTATAGTGGAAAACCTCTCAAAAAAAAAAAAGATAAAAAGATGGACTTGAGAGAGAGTTTCACATGCTAAACTAAACATTCAAATCCCCAGGTACAGAGCACAAAGTGACAGTCCCAAACTGTAAAAGTCAGGGGTTAGCTAAAGCAGAGCAGAAAGGGGAAAATTAACACTTGATTCATTGCTTCCTATAACAATTTAATTACTTATTTGTTTAAAAGAATTACTACTTTATTTAATTCTATTTGTTATTATTAGTTTTTAATTTGACCAAACAGAGACAGAAAAGTGAGAAAGCAAGCCTCCATGTCTGAGACTGGAATGGTGGTCGGCCATGTGAGAATCCAGGATCTTTACCACCATTACACCTGCTGGGCCTTCCTATAACTTATTAATAGCAAAATAGCAGGTAGCTGTCATTTTTATTTACTTATTTTAGTGTTTTCCTCTAAGGTCATAGTACTCTCTGAAGAGAGACAGTGAAAGATAAAGTGAGAAATGACCACTGGTGGGGATGGCTATGCAGCAATTCCTTCTACTCCCTTCTCCTCTCAGAATTTTGGTCCTGTACATACAAGTGTCCAGAGTATTTTTCAAGGTGCTGGGTACAGGACTTGAACTATGCAGCCATAAGGATCCTGTGCCTTAACCGCCAGGCCATCTGCTGCCCCAATTTGTTTATTTATCTGGTTGTAGATTTTTGCTATAGGGTGTGTGCATTCATTGCATAGAGATACATAGAAAAAGGGAAAGTGAAAAGTCATTCCCCAGGGCAGATTGCTACACAACAATCCCTTCTCCATTCTTTCAGGATTTGGGGCACACACACAGCCAATATATATCATTCCTTCATTGATTGATATCTAAACAAAGAGGACAACATTAGGAAATTCAGTCAAGTCATGTGATTCAGGGTAAACAATTCAGCCCAGTCACAAGATATAAAGGTTTAGGTCTAGACTGCCATTTAGAGATTCTCCTGCCCTGGTACATGTGCCTACTGTGAATAATGTTCCCACAGCTCTAGGAGACCTCAAAAAGTTTTTTATCTCCACTTAAGAATAGTGTGTCCAAACAATAAAGAGAAGTTTTGAGGATCTTGTGATTGATAATAGGTATCATTTAGCTGGATGATAGTTTTCCTGAATAGAGGTGATTTTAAAGGAGGATCATTAATGTATTGAGAAGACAACAAATATCTTTATGATGTGAATGAGGAGTGTATACATTCACTATTTTTAAAAACCTTAAAATTATAGAAAAATTACAGAAATGTGTATATCTATAAAATACGTACATACAAAGTATATGTATAAAATTATCAAATACAATGTAGTTTTTGGACTTTTAAATAAAACATGGAACAATTGGACAAAGTTAGTTAACATGTATGTCACCTGAAATGTTTCACATATTCTGTGATGAGAACATAAGTATCATATTCCCTTGGCAAAATTAGAATAGATGGTACTCAAATATGAGTTACATTCCCCATGCTTATACTAATAGATTGTTTTATTTTTTACTTAGGCTTACATGTACCTGGTTATATGAATATATAATTACTGGAAATCCCTTCACTTCTCAAAATGAAGCAGACTCACCTGTATTTTATTTTGTGTTCATTAACCCATTAAAGACAAGAGCTGAAGATAAGATAGTGATGTCTACTTTATATTTTTGGTCTTAGCTATGTCAGTGTAATTAGAATTCCCTGTACCTGAAATACTGCCTTTTACTCATTGAAAGACATTTTAATGTGGTTTGTGTATACTACCAAATAAAGAATATGTAATATTTTGCATATGTTATAGGTGCTTTGTAAGATCAGATGGTTTTGAAAGTCAGTGTGATGAGATTTAGTATGTTCCATTTTCCCTTTAAATTCTTTTTTTAAAGAATTATCTATTTAGTTTTATTTATTATTATTATCAATTACTATGATTATTATTTTACTTTGAATAGAGAGAGAGAAAAAGAGAGAGAGAGGGGAATTGTGAGAAAGCAAATCGCCAGGTCTGTGACTTGAACCACACTTGATGAACATGTGGGAGTCCAGCACCTTAACTACCATGCCACCTGTCAGTTTCTGAATTCTTTATTATCTATATAAGAATAAGTTTTGTTTCATAATCATGCTTCATATATTTAGACAACTGTTTAAAGCCACATGAAAACTATAGAATTGCTGTATATGTGTGATTGGTAGTGGTGTGCTTTGCCAAACTATTTGAAGAATTAAAATAGAGAAGATATACCATAAAAACAGATTTGTAAATAATGTTATCATAAGACTTAAGAAAATTAATAGCCAAATGGTAAACAGAAGGTAAATAAAAAGTAAAAGACAGAAAGGAAAGAAGAATATCTCAGGACCAGCAGTTAGCGTAATGGCTATGTCACTGGACTCCCATGTAGTCGACCAGTTTGAGTCCTGGACACAGTAGCTTAAACTCACACCGGGCACTTGTGCTTGTGTGCCCAAGATCCTGAGAGGAGAATGGAAGAGAAGGGATTGCAGTGTGGCCATCCCCCCCCTGGGGGGTGAGTTCTCACTTTCTATCTCTCTTTCTCTCTCTGTGTTTCTGGCAAGTGCATGCACCCTATAGCAAAAACCTCTCCAAGAAAAAAAAAAGAATACTTCAGGAGTCATGTCCAAACCAAAGAGACCAGGCCAGCCCAGAGATGTCTTTAGAGGTCTTATTTTTCTGCCAAAGGATGATCCAGCCTCCAAAGGACTTAGGGACTTGTGAGCCTCACTCCATGATGTTAACACTTGCAGGATCATGTCTAGCCCAGGAATTCTACCCAAGCCCCCTGACCTCCCAGACCTCCCAGGTCTTTGCTGATTTTCTGATAGAGCACAACCCTGCTCCTCCAAAGTCATGACAAAAGGAGGAATTGTTTCATGCTCAAGGGACCCTCAGGGAACTTCCTGGGCAGTCTTTGATAATAGGTATTACTCCAAACTATTGACTCAGAATGTAATTAGTTAGGTTTTATTTTAGTTTTAGTTTTTTCTATAGGGCACATGAACTTACCATTGGAGAGAGACAAAGAGAGAGAGAAGAAAGAGAAAGAAAGTCTAATTGCTTCTCCCCTATTTTGTTCAGGATATTTGGTAGATATGAAAACATCTCTGGGGAACCAGCAGTTAGTGTAATGGCTATGTCACTGGACTCCCACGTAGTCGACCACGGTTCATGTCCCAGACACGGTGGCTTAAAACTCATGCCGGGCGCGTGTGCATGCGTGCCCAAGATCCCAAGAGGAGAATGGAGGAGAAGGGATTGCAGCATGGCCATCCCCCTTGGGGGGGTGATCTCTCGCTTCCTGTCTCTGTTTCTCTCTGTCTGGCGAGCGCATGCGCCCTATAGCGAAAACCTCTCAAAAAAAAAGTTGTTACCCCAAAATTTGGGATTTTGGCGATCAATTCTGACCTCTTCTGAAAAAATGGTTGGTGAAGTTTATTATATTTCTGTTCTACTTTCAAAATCTCCTCACTGGCTTGTTCATTAAGTCTGCCTATTTCATTTTGTACTTCATTGATACGTTCAATTGCTTCTTGTTGTTCTTTCTCTGAGGTCTCGTTTCCCCCCTCGTGGTTGGAGTTGAGCTCCTTTTTACTGAATTTGGCCACCAGCGCCTACATGGTGCTGCTCCGTGGTGGGGGTGGGGGGATCAGGGAGGGAGAGAGAAGGGAAGGTGAAGAGGGCGGGCAGGCAACTTCCCCTAGCATGAGAGCTTGGTCGCTGGCGCTCACTCCCTAGGTCGCCCTTCCCCTCGCTCACCCTCTCCCTTGCTTGCCCTCCCCCTCGCTCAAGAGAGCTGCCCTGGTGGCCAGACCAGGGAGGGCTGGGGTGGCCTGCCTGCCTTGCTGGGCCACCTGCTTACAGAGGGGAGGCTGCGGAGGCCAGGAGGCTTGGCTCCCTCACTGGTGCTCCATTTTCCAGCTCGTAGCTTGCTCTCCCTGAGCCACCTGCTCCACCTACTCCTCCTCACAGCGAGGATGAAGATCGGGAGGCAGGGCGCAGGTGCACCAGGCCTCCAGGTAATTGTTGATCTTACTACCTAGAGTGAACAAAATTTGAATAATATGACCTTCTCCTGAAGCACTGAGTACTGTTCAGAGGTTTGGACTGTCTTTCAGAAGGGATAGGTAGTTTTGTTAAGGCCATAATGATGTTACTTATTGGAGAAAGCTTCGAGTGTGGACTGGGGAGTTTTAACCTGTCATCCTGAGAGTGTCTGTATATAATGCTTGATTGACACTCCATTCTTTCTATCTGTCATCATAGTTTCCTGTGTCTGAGCTCACTTAAACCTGATCTGTTACCAAATTTGGCAACTACAGGAAAGCTGATGCATTCCTTATCATGATAGGCTTTCCTAGTAGTTCACAAAGGGTTTGCCAAAGTATTTCTGCCTTACAAGAAAAATGAAAATATGTTGGATTTGCTTTTTTGGAGAGGTTTTTGCTGTAGGGCGTGTGCACTTGCTCAAAAGACAGAGAGAGACAGAGACAGACAGCGAGAAATCACCTCCCCAGGGGGGATGGCCACACCACAATCCCTTCTCCTCCATTCTCCTCTCAGGATCTTGGGCACACACGCACACCCACCTGGCGTGAGTTTAAGCCACTGAGTTTGGGACTCGAACTCTGGCCGACTCTATGGGAGTTCAGTGACATAGCCGTTACTCTAACTGCTGGACCCAATTTTTGATGTGACTTTCTCAGAGTCTGGTTATTGGTAGATGCTAGACATTCTGTTTTGGTTAGTTTTACCAGTTTTACCACATTTCAATCAAGTGAAGCATTTATTCACTTTGATTTTTTTTTTTTGTAACACTGAGGTTAACATGAACATTACTATCAATAACTTCCACAACACATTTTGTGGTTTATGTGGTTTCAATGGCTAAATAACATAAGTGCTTCCCATCCCACTTGACAACAATATCTTACTAAGATAGTAAATATTGTAAGAAATTTATAAGAACCTTTTTTTTTATATAGATATTTTTGTTGTAGGGCATTTGTACTCACCAGAGAGAGTGTAAGTGAGAATTCTCCTTACATCACCCAACCTTAGGGGATGACCAATTCTGCAACCCTTCTTCTCCTGGGATTTTGGTTGTCACACACACATAATCACTCACTCACTCACTCACTCACTCATGTGCCTGGAATGGTTTTCATTCAACTGGGTCTGGGACTAAAACCTCATACTCAGTCATGTGGGATCCAATACTTTAACCACCATGCCTCCCGTTGACCCATAAGAACCTATTTTTTATTATGTAAAATAGAAAAATTAGACTTTATGACACTTATATGTCAAACAAACTTTAAATGTAAATAAAATGTAATGGAGTACTCTTGTATAAATAAAAAATTCCTTCTTATGTTTTGTTTATTAATTAAAAATGTTCATGTGTGTGTGTAGTGGTTTTTGTCTTAGTTTGTGTGTGCATGCCAGAGAGAGAGGCAGAGACAGTGAGAGAGAAACACATCACTCTCTAGGGGGGATGGCCACACCACAATCCCTTCTTCTCTTTGCTCCTGAGCTCTTGGGCATGCATCCATATGTGTCCAGTATGAGTTTTAAGCCACAGGGTCTGGTGGCTCAATATTGTCAGCCATGTAGAAGTTCAATGATGTAACCTCTAGGCTATTTGCTGGCCTTTTTTTTTTTTTAACCTTAAAACTTTATAAACTAATTTACACATAATTGCTTTGTCAGGTTTCAAAAGTCTTGCACATGGCTGTAAAGTTCTATTGATTTTATCTGACATGTATTTAAGACTTTCTCCCTCACATGATATTGTTAAAAACATTGCTAGGGTCTTAAATGTATTGTTTACCATTTTCTGTGTAAGAAACCAACTAAGTATTCTAAAAACCAGACAATTTATTTGCTCAAGAGTCCTTGGATCTACATTTTGGGGTGAGTTCAGCTGGGCAGTTTCTATTCTAGTTGCCTGGATGGCAAGTGAGGCTTTAGCCATACGGTGCCTCAAGACATTCTGATTGGTTCCAGATAACTTCACTTTCACATCTAGTGGTTTGTGCTGACTCTGTGAGGCCCATGTCTCCACCAATTTAGCCTCAGAATTTTTCAATTTTGACTGCCAAGAAGTGAAGCACTGGGACCACAGATGGTGTGGTGGTTAAGGCACTGGACTTCCACATGGCCAACTGTGGTTCGAGTCCTGGACTTGGTCATTTGAAAATCACACTGGGCATGTGTGTCTGTGTGAGCCAAAAATCCCAAGAGGAGAATAAATGAGAAGAGATTGTGGTGTGGCTATTCCACCAGGCAGTGATTTCTCACTTTCCCTCTCTCTTTCTCTTCAGTGAGTATATGTACCATATGGGAAAAACCTAATAAATAAATAAATAAGGAAGAGAAGCATTAGTGGGCAAAATCTTTTCAAATTTTGATTTGTATCACATTTTCATTTTTGGTTTATTTTATTCATGACAGTGTGCATATTCACACAAGATTGAGAAAAAGAGAAGCACATACAGGCTTTAATCACCCTGTGTTTTTCCAGCTCTACAACTCATCAGAATCTTAGGCATGTGTACTTATACCCAGGCTTGTTTTTAGACTGATCTGGGGATTCAAAGTCATGGTCAGCCGTATGACTTCACCTTTGCTACTGACTGTGCCTCTAAGCTGGGCTTGCATTATGATTTTTTTTTCTTGTTGTTTAGTTTTTTCTACAGGGCATGTGTGTTTCCTCGAGAAAGAGAGAGAGAGAAAGGAAAAAGAAAAGAAAGAAAATACTCAACTCACAGGAGATGCCATGCTTCAGTTTCTTCTCCTGCATTCTCCTCTCAGGATTTTGGGCACACATGCCCAAAAAAATATCTTTTGTTATACCTTCCCCTGTGGAAGACAAAACACTGTATGGTACCCGATGCTAAAGTCAGTATATAGAGTGGCCTACATATTCCTGTCATGATTCTTGCAATACTTTTCTGCACTTCACTGTGCAGCATCTGTATGTGTTCACAAAACATTGGCACTCATCAGGGCAAACTACAGAGTAAGGATATTTTGTGCATAGTTTGATTTCATTAATGCTTTTTTATTTTAAGGCATTGCTTCTCTCAGCTAAGGCTTTAAAGGGCATAATCATGATTAACCACTAAAAGGGAAAAAGAAAATTAGTTAACAAGATGCTATTATGCCCCTGTGATAAATTTCACATGCCAAGGACATTACACTGAGGTATTATTAGCTCTGTGGGCTGACATTTAATATAAGTACAATGCTGCTTTGTTGCATCTTCAATCTGACAAAATCCTATGAGGCTGTGAAATTGTTCCTGAAAGACAGACTAGTCTCTTGAACTTCAGATGTGATTTTAGAGAAGTTATAAGGCCTTCTGGCTCAGAAATGGCTTGGCATCTCACACTGTTCACAGCCGATTAAGACTAGATAATTTAAAAAGGAAGCAACAGTACAATTACAGTCTACTTGTCATCTTCTGCACCTTCAGTTTGGTGTTTTAATGATGGACTTTTGAAATTTGGGATTTGGTGGCACACAATCTACAAATCCAATATTGTCATAAAAATTAGCAATAGGAATGTGATTGAAGTGCAATCTTTGGCTTGAAAAAGATTAGTGTCTTTGGTTAAGCAGTCAGTGTCAATCTGGAGTTGTCTATTAGAATTTATCAACTAGTGCATTTCTTCTAGTGAAGATATTTGGCATATGGAATTTGATCTTTTTTAAGTACCTTTGTGTTAGATTATTTTCTGTTTTATTGACCTTAGATTTTAGTTTATCCAGCTTTTTCTTTTGAATCTTGGGTTCTCTTTGAAGCGGTTCCATTCTGGATTTCTGGTGTACAAATAGAACTGTGTTAGGCAGCATCATCTGTTCCCATACTCAGTTCCCATGCTTCACTTATTCTAGCCACATGTCATAAGGTTGAGCCCTTCGTGTGTTGGATATTCTGTTTTACATAAGATCAGGATAGTTTCGAAGATTGATAAGTTCAAAGGTAGGGAATAGCAACCCTGGTGAAACTGAAGGTGGTTTAGTGGGAGAAATGGTAATTTTAGAAGTGTGCAGGATCCTCAGCTACACCTCCTGCATCTTCCAATTTCCTTCTGCCCTCCTACCACATTGTTTTAATGTGGTCCTTAGTTATTCAACACTTATGTTGATTCCTTGTCTTAAGTACTGTGGCTCCTGCAAAACATGGATGTGGAAATGTCTCTCTATCTTATTTGTTGAGTTATTACAGCTTCACCAGGTTTGCTCCATAGTGTACTCCAGAGTGGTTGTGCTCATTTACATTCCCACCATCAGTGTAGGAGAGTTCCCTTTTCTCCACCACCTCACCAGTACTTATCATTATTTATTTATGTACTTTAAAAATTTTAGCCATTCTGACTTGGTTTAAGTGATATCTCATTGTGGTTTTGATTTTCATTTCTCTTATGTTAAGAATTTTTGAGCATGTTTTCATATACTTTTTGGCTATTCATGTATCTTCCTTGGACAGTTGTCTGTTCAGCTCATTTCCTCATCTTTTCATTGGATTGTTTGGAGGGCTCCCTTTTAACCACAAACTCCCCAGTACTTGTTCTTTATATTTTAGATCATAGCCATTCTGACTGGAGTTATACATACTTCAGCTTACTTTGGATTTGCATTTTCCTTATTATAAGTGATGTTAATATTTCTTTATATGCTTTGTGTCCATTCACATGTCTTCAAGAGTTGTCTGGTTAGGCCAGCTGCACATCGTAAAGTTGTATCATTAGTATTTTTGTGAGTGCGCTGCTTTAGTTCTCTGTATATTCTGGTTTCAATGCTGTATCTGAGGTATTTTTATAATTTCTATTTTGTTAAATATTAGTCAAACATTAAACTTTAATATTTCTTTATATGCTTTGTGTCCATTCACATGTCTTCAAGAGTTGTCTGGTTAGGCCAGCTGCACATCGTAAAGTTGTATCATTAGTATTTTTGTGAGTGCGCTGCTTTAGTTCTCTGTATATTCTGGTTTCAATGCTGTATCTGA